GGAGCTATGAGCCATGAAGCTGCCCGGCAGCAGCGCCCTGCGGCAGCCCCGCTCCGCCGCCTGCCCGCCCCGGCTCGGGCTGCTGCTGCTCCTGCTCCTGCTCCTCCTCGCCGCCTCGCCCCGTGGGGCCGCCGGTGGGTATCGCGCCCGGGCCGGGGGGCTCTCTTCCCGGTGATTCCCCGCGCAACGCTGGGGTGGAGGGGGGATAATTAATAATATGATAGTAATAATCATGATGATAGTAATAATCATCATCATAGTCATGTCGATAATTGGCATTATTAATGGATCCCCTTCTCCGCCCCGCTTGACTCCGCTTTTTCCCTGGGACACGTCTGCAGGGGGGATGCGACTGAACCCCGGGGGCTGTCCTGGGGCGAACCCAGCCTGTGCTGGGGGTTGTTGTTGAAGCAGCCTTCAGCTGACACAGGGAGGGCTGGCTGTGGTTATTTTCCAGACACCATCCATATATATTCTCTTTATACATTAAAAAAACAAACAAACAAACAAATATATACCCCCCCACATATGTATGTGTCTGTGCATATGTACACGTACACACACATGTATGTGTGGATATATTTCCCCGATTCTTTTCAAGCTGGGGAATCTGGTGAGCAATATATACCTATATATTACCATACATATTGCTCAGGGAATTCCGCAGCTTGAAAAGAAATGGGGGAGCAAAGGGAGTTTCCAGAGGAAAACCCCTTGCCCAGAGGGGAAGGGCTCCTCCAGATCATGCTCCCAGTTAAAGGACTAAGGGGGGGAAATTGGCCATTATGTAAAAGGAGCCTATTAACATTCACTGCACATGGACTTGGGATTCGAGTTGTCTTAGGAACCCGGGGAGGGTTCCCAGCAGTTTCTGGCGGATTGTATGCAGAGCGCGTTCCAGCTGTGTGTGTGTGTGTGTGGCCAGCAAACAGAAGCGTAGGGGAGGATTGCATGTCCATTAAGAGATTTTTCTTTCTTCCACTTGAAGGTTGAAAAGTTTTAAATATTTAATATCTGCATTTGCACAGGGAAATGCACATGAATGTAAATGCAGTGTGACTGCCGGAAAACATTTGAAATGTAAAAATAAAGATGGTCTTTTAGCGATTGAGCTGTTTTTTTTCTGATTAAGTGAATGATATGTTGGAATTCAGCAAAATAAATCTTTCACATCATCTTATGGAAATTCTGTTCTTTAATTTATGTCTGGCGTATCTTTCTTCCTCAGACCTGCATTGGAATGAAACTGTAGGAGGTACAGAGGGAGTACTGTTGGATGAAGAGAATACATTTCAACAAAATAACAGCAATAGCAGTAAAAATGACAGCCACAGCAATGCAATCCAGAAAGAAATCACACTGCCTTCAAGACTGGTCTATTATATTAACAGAGACTCTGAAAGCCCTTATCATATCTTGGACACAAGGGCACGACACCAGCAAAAACACAACAAGGTAGGGAGAAAAAAAAAAGCTTGATGTGCAGTAGCTTAAAATGGTAGTGTGTATGACGAAACTGTATTACTTCAGATAGCTACCCAGAAGCACTCCAAGATTTCAGAGGTCATTGACATAATTTTTAGGAATGGAAAAAATATGTGATTTAACCAGTGTGGTTTTACTTCTTTTTGCTAATAATCATGGGAGTTGTAAAGATGGGCCTAAACTGGAACTCTAGATCTAAGACAGGATCACAATTCTGTAGTGTAGGCCTGTTGGATCACTATATTAGTCATATTAGATTGACTTTATCTGAACTGTGATGCTTCCAGCAGCCCAGTACTCCTTTAAAAGTTCTGCTGAACCACTTGTATCTGCAAAGAGAGTGTATTTATGAGTCTCAACCTTTTTTTTTTTTTTGAACAGCCAATTAGTTCAGAGTGCAGCATGCACTATCTAATCAGCTGAATTCTGGTTTCCTGCCAGTGGATGCACATTAACAGTCATTATAAGAGGTTGCTGGTTCTTTAGTCAGAGATCAAATACTTAATATTAAACCCCAAAAGATGTAATTTTAATATTTATCTTGGTAATCCTGATACTGATCAAATTGATAATCCTGATCTGGGGAGTAGAAGTTTGCTTGAAGATTTTATATATATTCCTATAAATGGATAGGTTTTTGGTTTGGTATAATGATCAGGTCTACAAGTAAATATATTTTAAAATGCATCTCTTACAAGATATTTTAATATATATATTAAATTAGACATTTTGATATATATATTAAATTAGACATTTTAAAATATATATATATATCTCATAACTTTTTTTTTTAAACCTGGAGGAAGTAGCACTGATTAGATAACTCAATACAATTTTTGAATAGGGATACCCAAATTGAGTTTTAATGGTGGCTTAATGGAGAAGGACATGCTTTCTAGATGATTCAAATCAGGTACCAGTAGGTGCCTGTGGACAGCTATAAATTATATGGCAATATTTTAAGGTACTACAACAAAGTAACTACTTTGATGTTATCCATTTAGTTGCCTTGTTTTCTAACTGTATTGCTTACAGAAATGACGTCACAAGATCTAGCAAGTCTGAAATGCTTTTTCCAAGACATTTTTTGAAGGGGATGGGGAAAAGACAAGAACAGAAGAGATGAAGTATATCTCAAAATGATATATTGCAGGGAATTGGATAGCATGTTTCTCAAGATGGGGTAGAGCAAATGCAGCGTTTTTAGCTTCAAATGCGCCCCTTCATTCCATTTTGGAATTTAACAGCATCTCTGTGAAGAACCACTGAGCTACAATCTAGCTGGTCCCAGATGAAGGTGGAGGGTGGAAGACCTCACCCTACTGTGCCCTGCTTTAGGCACCTGGTGCCCCCTCTGCATCTTTGGTTCATACCTGAGGTGGCAACTGCAGCCCTCCACTTCTGCATGCTGGAAACTGGAGCCATGAGCACCCACAAACCTTCCTGCTGACACTGGGATCATGGGAGGAGTGGGAGTTGTGGGGATGAACAGCACTGAAAAGTGCAGTCCTGTATCAACCCTCCCCATCTGTCTGCCTGTGCATGTGGCAGATTACACTGCTGGGAACTTGGGGGTGGGGAGCAACCGTGGGTGCTGCTTGTCTTCAGGATGCTGGGATGCCTGCTAGGAGGAAGAGTAATGGCTTCTTGGCTCAAGGGCCGGATGCCGTGGCACCCTTGGAAGGATTGTGCAGCACCCTTGGATGCTGCGGTAGGTACCCTGGTTGAGAATCACTGAACTAATTTATAGAAAAATACCTCTATCCATCTATATCCATCCTCTATACCTCTATCCATCTATGATGGATTCTGAACATCCTGCAGGGGCATCTAAATTTCTGGACAATATACATATATTCAACTTTTAAAAACTAATATTAAACTAAATAATTAAAATGTTGACTAATAAGTCATACTTTTATTAAATTGGATGTGCTGTTTTTCTCTGTTTCTGTGGAAATACAGAAAAATCTAGGAAATACAGAAATATTTCATTCTCTCCGTAGTAACTTCCAATGTACTGAAAATAATGGTCTCCCCCCCCTCCCTCGCCCCAACAAAGGGAAAAATTTAGAATGAAACTTAGGAAAGAAGGACTTTCTAGGCTTTGTAAAAGGTCTAAAAATGTGGCTCTGGAAATAATATAGATGTTTTTCGCTCTGTAATGAGTTTTTAGAGAACTTGAGGCATCCATGCAGAGGCCAGTCCTTTGACCAATGCCACCTTATGCTGCTTCTCCAGGTGGTCTCTTAAAAATGTTGCTGTCATTGCCTATCTTCCTGTGCTTTAGCCTGCTCTGGTTTGTGTAGTGAGAGTGTAGATCTGCAGCAATTAATGCTGGCAGGATAACTATTGATTTTTTTCATATTTGCTTGGTGGACGTTGCTGTGTAGAGTGGTTCTTCCTTCCATTCTGCTGTGCCCCTTAAGTGTGAGAGTCTGTAACTGTACAATGTTTTCATGGATGATTCTTTTTAAGCTTGAGGTGCCAGGAGGTTGTCACACTGGCATCATTTCCTCTGAAAGACTGCAGCTATTTTGGAGCAAAATTTCCACTGCTTACAACCCCTCCTCTATGTGAAAGGAATCATTGTATCCTTTTACTGGATTGTCTGTGTACTGTATGACATTTAAACTGCTCGGTTTTTTCTTCCTAGGCTGTACACAGTCCCACCCAAACTTTGACCTTGTTCTCATACTCTGACTCTGACTCTTTTCCTTTACTGTATGCACTCCATCAACTATGCTGTCTTCAGTATTTTTTGTTCTTTTATTAGCTTCATAGAGGGGAGTCTAAAATTTCTGTGTAAAAATCCTCCACAATGACAGAATCACTGTTTACCCTTACTACATGAAATGAGTTGACTATAATTTTGAGTGAGGATAAAAAATAATAAAGAAGTTATACATTTCTCCTATCATCTCATCCTCCATGCGTGTTTTGCAAGTCTCAGGCAGGGATTGACTTTCAAGCGCTGTACATGCTCATCAGACAATAAAAAAACCCTTCATAGAAATCAGTCAACAAGAGGTCTATTTTTAGGTTTGATCATTTAAATGTAAATAGAAGAGAAATGAACATGACAGCCTTTTGTGGAATCACCAGTCAGTTGTGGAGGGAGATCTTTGATTTTTTTTTTTAAACTTTATTTTAATTGAGAAATGTGGTTATAAATAATGTATTGTTATTTTTATAACAATGGCGTTTCAATGCCAGGTGATTAAAGCTGAGGGCCTGCTCCATCAAACCCTGTATACAGACATTCCATTGAAGTCAAGGAGATGGGGAGTTCTCAGGATAGAAGGCCTGTGGGGTTGGGCCTAAATAGCTTGTAACTGCTGACTCACTATATGAAGCTGGTAGATAGGTGTGTATATGCAATGTGAGGTGTAGGCATAATGAAAAATACTGCTATTTGGAAGCTTAATAATGGCACCTATTTTCAGGAAATGATTTTTAAGGGAAAAAAACTACCTAGAAATGGAATATGTTGTGAAATTCAGTTGAATTAAAGAGATGCTATTAGATAGACAATATTCTATTTATTACACTATTTGTAATCTACCCAAATGTTATTTTTTCTTCCCCCTAACAGGGATCTTTTCATCTACTGTTCATTTGGCTAGTCTCTGCTTATTAAATTGCCACCTTAAGTAGGCCTACAAAATCTAAATTATATTGGTAAAGAAAACTGGGAGGTCTTATCTATTTGACCTTCCATAGGTTTCGTTGTTTTGAGACGGAAAGTAGTTTTACTATCGTTTCAGCTAGTTGAAATCCTGATTTTTATTCCCCCCCACCCCACAAGGTTGAGACAATGCAGCAATGACTGTATAATACATCTCTTCTTTTGCACCAACAAATAGAATATTTGAAATGTTTTGGTACCTGAATGCTATGCAAATTGAATACATCAGTTTCTACCTCTGTAAACTGAATAGAATTTCTTCCTTATACATTTGTTCTGAAGCTTCATTAATGTGAATATTGTGAGATTCTAAGGTGAAAGGAAATCCTTAAATTCTTATTATAATTGTTCCTTTATTTTGCCTTTTCTCCATTGCAAGATACCTCTTAAATTCCAGAGGTTGCTTGTACATGGTAAAATTTACACCTATTGTTAAATATACAGCATGAAAGTTCATAGTGGTGGTTAAACCTTATCAAAGAGGCTTGTTGGTCACCCAGCTTCTATAGAAGCTTGGGATGACATAGAGATAGATGTGGATACCATTTTGAGTCCCCTTATTACTTTACAGTGAAAGTGAGAACTGATTAACTAGTGTGAATGCACAACTACAAATGTTGGCCAAGATTTTAAGAGGTAATTTACACAATTACTTGTTGGGGATTGCATGTCCATCCTCTGACTTCTATGCAGTCATCAAAGAACTGTCCAGGGGAGAGTGATATATGGCATTTGTGGTGGTATCCTGCAGTCCTTGAAAGGTAAATCATTAGGACAAATAAGTACTTGGCAGCAGCATCTCTCAGAATGCCAGAAGCAAAGCAGAATATCGGTATGGGGACCCATACTGGCAGACGATAATGGCATACATAAGGTAGACCTTAAAACCTAAGATGTTCATTCTGCAGTTTCATGAGTCCAGAAAGACACAACTCAAAACAACCTCTCATACTCACTTTTTTAACCACTAGTCCTTAGAAAAGACCCCGGTGAAGAAAAAGGTGCACTTATCTGGCATTCACTGGTCATTTTTCTTGATTTTGGGGGGGGGAAAAATTGCTTCTTGGTAGTGGATGAAAAGTTTCTTCCTATTCTCACTTTGAACAAGAAATAGTCACTGAGAACAGGCCACAGTTTGCTAGCCCTGAATTCCAAACTCTTGGATGCATTATGACTTCTTAAATCAGTATTCTTTTTAACCCAAGGGAATGGATTGTTGGAAAGAGTCGCTTAGACTGTTGGTTTTGTTGCAAAATTTCCTTACCAAAAAACATGTTACCTT